GTCTTTCTAGGCGGTAAACAAATGCTGTTCATTGCTATTGCGAAATGACTTACGTCGATGGGTACTCGTCAAAGGGGGAATTCTTACATCATTGATGGAATGAAATAATAATAAAAGTACGGGAGATTTAAGGACAAGTAAATCCGGGTGATTCAACGATAAATTGTGTTATCCAGGCAAGAAATGATCTTAAAGTTTCGGACATTGCAAAAACATCCGAAGCGAACTCCGGAAATCAGACATATATATGTGTAAGGATATCATTTGATGTGAAAAAATGGAATGCAGTATTATAGGGTCAACGATTTAAAGATGGAAAGATTAACGAAGCGGCGTCCGTACGGGAATACTTTGTGTACAGTTACCGGATAAATGTCTCCTGTCATCGCCGATGCATTGTACATCTCTTCAAATTTCTTACAATCTTGACGTACTTAAATCTGAAGTAGACTTCCGTGATGTAGTGCATAGTTCGAAATGACAAAATCTACATGCGCGAGAAATGAAAATATCCCCAATTTACCCGCTATCAATGGTATCAACGTGAGCACTGCTCTTAATAATAATAAATATATACACTTCAGTTCAAACACTGTGAAATTGAAGGTATTTGTATCGAGATATCGAGACTTAAATCCTCGGTATAATATTCCGCAGGCCAGTCTGCATTAAAGAGAAAAGCAGATTATCATATTAACTTTCCAGATCAAATATGTTCTAAATAGTTTTCAAATATACGCATTTTACTTCCACTATTTTCCAGTCGTCCAAATTTGTTTAAAAAACACGTCAGTTAACAACCTTTTGTATAAAATTATAGTGACTACCACAGAGATCTGGTACATATTCCCGACCCCCCGTCCATATACATGTATTGTAGTGACTATAATACATATATATGGACCGTGGATCGATAATTCGTGACAAATAAATTCCTGTTGTCATTATAATACACATGGCCCACGGGTTGGGAATTCGTGTCAGGCCCCTGTGATGTGATGGCAATCTTGTTTTGTATCGTGATACGACTTGCTTTTATTTTTGGCTCATGAACTCAACAACAGGTTTTAAGTTAAACATCCTCATTGGGTATACTTCCGGTAATGGAATATCGATTACAAGATTGTAAGATGGCAGCCATGCATGTCTGCTGTCGTAATGTTGCACTTACAGCTTGCGGTTTAAAATAAAATAAAAAAAAGTTGTCAACACGGCGACCTTGAAAGCCATCTCTTATGTGGTTGAACCTGCCCTGTCAGTAAGTACCAAATAATGCACTCTACATTTTCCGTTCATAACTAGATGTGGCATAAGTCAACCCTTGGAGTTAAAATTACTATCAGGACATTTGTTGAAAACCTATGTTGATAATTAAGATGAAACTGATAACAAAGTTTTCAAGCTTGTGGCTATTTTCAATGTGGCAGGGGTCCAGCTTTAGTTAAATCTGTAGCCCACACAAAGCTTATTACTGTAAGTCAGGTCTGTATCATTTTTGTTCTGGAGAAAATGTGATAAGATTTTCAATTAGTTCAATTTCTTGAAAGTGGCACGGTTAAAAGCACCGATGCATCATACACAATTCAGTGACATATGTTCTGTCTCCTACAACTTTAGTGCCAAAGAAGATGCGATACATGCAATTATGTTTTCAAGATAGCAGACATTTTAAATGCAGGACAGAACAGAGTTTCAGATAGAATAATAAAACCTTTTTGTTAAAGTCCTGTCTAACCATGACTTTCACTTCTGGAGAATTAGAGAGTCTGTCGAAGTATTCAAAATAGTCGTTATTTAGAGAAACGAAATCACCGATATTCATCCTAAATGATTTTTTTAACCTAGTAACAGTGAACTTCAGTGCACTGTAGTCAAAATCCTACAGCAGATTTAACCTACTTACAGCCAGTGATGCACAATATTATCAGGATTAACATACCATTTAATCCCATGAAAAATATCTCAGGCGTCTCCTTCCATCATGTCTCACAAAGGCCATATCGACAACACATGCACATAGGTCATCACCTATTTTGTTAAGTCATATTGCATTCTCATAATGCACCCAACCGTAAACTTGAAGATATTATATACATGAAATTAAAATATAGATGACGGAGTCTTAATTATTCATTCAAATAGACTGTATTCCTGTAACAAAAGCACATGAGCTATGTATTACATACCTGTATTTATTGTTATCTCTGAATAATACTGTATTTATGAGAATTTTCCCACATTGAGCCCATCCCACTGCAAATATGGAGAGGCTATGATAGCTTATTTCATTAGGTTACAGTGTTGGTTATGTAACCTCAGGTGAAGACAGCTGAGAAATGAACATGTCTGTGCCAAGTGTAATGTGTTGTCTTTTGAGCCAGGGGCTTTCACCAATTGTTCTGAATGACATGTGACAAGTAGTTCAGCAAGGTTGCCACCAGCTACTCCCTACAGGAGATTGATTTTAAATTTTTTCTGACTCCTTTGAGGGAAGCTATCAGGCATTTCATAATTTCAGGGTTTGTTTCGACATATTTCACCCCTTTATGACCCTAAAAATAGGTCATCACTTTTATTGCAAACTTTGTGTGGATCCTTCGAGGAAGCTATCTGCCAAATATTATGTATTTTGGCCTTTTTGGTATTTTTAGAAGTTGCAGAAATGTTTTTACATTTGACTTCTTTGACCTTTTAAGTAGGTCAATGTCAATTATTTGCAAACTTTATTTCGCTTCTTTCAAGGAAGTAAGTAGTTATGTATCATATCTCTAATTCTTCCAGTATAACAGATGTTGTCTTAATGTTGTGACATATTTGACCCATGTTACCTTGAAAAGTAGGTGAAAGTTTTTATTTTTTTATTTCTGTAAGCAAAATTGGTTGAACTCAATCCAAGAAAGCTATCAGCTTAAAATCATGACTGTATGCCTTTTGGTTCTTCAGAAGAAGTTGTTGAAAAAATATTGACAGATGCGGGACAAACTAAGAAACTGTGTTATGGCATGTTTTGGCAAGATTTTAAAGTGTTCAATTAATTTCTGCTGTGTGCAAATTTCACTTCCAAAAAAGTCTGCAAAGGACCTGCCTTACTGGTATATTATTATATCGATGGTAAAGTTCAACAGCAAACAACACTTTTGAAACATTCACTAAATAATATATAAATATGTATAAATTAACATTCGTTTTGTAAAATGCTTACCTAATCTGAGTGATATTTTTCAGGTAATTGAAGATATATAAACACTGAAATAATAAACATGCATCAATATATGACCTATCTGGTTATCTAGTTATCAGTGTACAGGGTTTTCCATAATTTTGTTAGTAGTAGGCTGTGTAGTGAAAGTAGGAGGCTGGCCTGCCGTGTACGTGTAGTCGTTTACGGAACATTCATACGGAACTGGATTGGTGTAGGTGGCCAAATGATCAAAGTAGCTGGTCAAATTGGCGGGCGACCGGCTCTTATGGAAAACCCTGAGTGTAATAAGTATTACACAGTATTTTATGATGACCTAACCAGATTCCCACTGATATCAAATTTCATGGTTATCTTTATCCCTGCACCTGTGAAACAATATTGACGGACATCATCTATTTATAACTTTAACAAGGCATAAATTATTACATCAACTTTAACAAAATAATTAAAAATATTATAGATTCACTAAGGTAAAATTTACCCTCTCCCCTCCCCAAGAGGCCGGGGGTAATGCCAAACCACGGGGTTATGAAATTCACAATGGAAAATGGAAATTAAATTATGCTCAAAAATTCATGATATGAGTTATGGTTAACTTCGACCCCTACAAAGAAGAAATACTGAATATGTCTGGGACTTAAGTTAACAAAATCCACCTACAAAGGGTTTTTACCATATCAAGGTCTGGAGAAGAAGATATTTAAAATTTGTGTAAATGTTACCCCTCATGAAAAGACCCTTCAATCTATGAAGATATACCCGATCTGCAGGGTCGGACCGTCCAGAGACTGAGAAGAACATTGTTAAAGTTTGAGTCAATTTGACTCCACTTCTCGGACTTCTGGGAGTGGGTTATGGTCAATATATGCATAAACATTGAATTGTCATACTAACAATTCTAACAAAGTTTGAAATATTTCAAATGGCAATCTCGTTAATTTTGCTCAAAAATGCAGTTTTCATTTTGAAACTACAGTAAATTTTATGACCTTTGGGGCAAAGTGAGATTCTAAATTCATGACAAATACAATTATGGTAAGGCACCTAAAGACCGTTCTTTGAACAGTATTTCATTTTGTTATATCTAGATCTTGAGAAGAAGATTAACCTTCAGTCAGTTTCATCCTTTCTGGCCCAACTCCTCAGCACTTCCAGTGTGAAGCAAGTCATTCACATTTCTGGTTTACCTTTGATCATGGAAGGTTTCAGAAAAAATTCATTAAACATAACTCAGGGTTCTTTTTTTCAAAAAGTGAAAAATGTTGATTGTTTTTTGCACAGAAAGCGACAGATAACAGACAACTGTGATGGACAAGAGATGAAAGTGGCTGGCATTGGAAAAGGTGGAAATCCGCCGATTGGCGGAAATTTTTCATCTCTGTGGTAATTTAACTATAGCTTTCAAACGTTCGACTGATGTGAGAGTTATCTTCCTTCGTATTATCGATTTGACAATACCGGAAACTCGGTGCTCCTAACTGCTCAATGTTTAATTTTACAGTTTATAAGGGCATATAAATCGAAGGATTTAAGAACGGAGTTGATGAAGATTGCATAAAAATAAAATGCATCATCGAGACATACCTAACCAACCAACCCCCCCACCCCCCTCCTCTGAAATTTTCTCACCAGATTTGCATCGATCTCAAAAATGACCAAATTTGTCTTGAAAAAGGCTGAAATCCGCCGATCGGCAGAAATTTTTCATCTCTGGATAAATCACTTAATATTTTGTCTCACATAGGTGACCAAAAAACCACAACATCAAAGTCAAAAAACCACAACATCAAAGTCAGTACAATCTACAGAGACTTCAACAGATTTCTCAAATTTAATGACAAAAAAAAAATTGATACAATAATAATGATAAATGTATAATATACTTGTAGTATCTCTAGCATGGTGATGGGCACCACAACATGTTAAACAAAACATTTCAACTAATATAGTACTACTATCTTTTCTTCACTATTACTTTAACATGCATATTGCTGAAACATTTATCCATATCAAGTAATTGTGTATGTTGAAAAAGCCTTTCTTTTCCGCAATGTCATTAATCAGTTATATTGGTCCATATAATGAAAAAATATTAGTATAATAAAACAGTTTTTAATCTAAGTAGGGCATTTACATGAACAACAAAAAGAAACACAAATCACCACACATTGTCACATGTAAATATGGTTATCACAATTATATATGCATTCAAACTTTGACCTAAATTAATTAGGTACAATCAAGACATATGAAAGTCATGCTGATATTTAAACTTTACTCAAGGATATTCACTACATTATATAAGAAATGAACTGATCCTAATAATAAATTAAAAAGTTACCTATATTTGCTGAAATGTTTCAGCTCATGACGGATATCCATGTTGTGTTAAAGCTATCTGGACTTATATACCCGATTAGTATTTTGAATTTTTACACCTGACAATTAATAATTCATTTGTTAGGCTAAACAAAAAATGTGTTTGTTTACTGTTTTATTCTGTATTCGTAAAAAATTTAAGTTAGATTAGTAAACAATTTTATTTTTCAAAATAGTTAAGGGTCTTATAGATGATGATCGCGACTCGAACACTGGTTCCATTCAAACTGCAATGAAAAGTTAGGATTGGTATGAAAAATTTGAGCCGGTAGAGTTAACAGGAAACAAACAGCATTCTTCAATTTCAAGTCCGATTATTTTCCTGTGAAAAGTGAAAATTCATAAACATATCAACTTAATTCCACTATTTTCAATAATTTGCGTTATTTAACATCATGTACATTCACACAAACATGTACAATCAAAGTTGAATTATTGTCTTTTTTTATTAAAGCACTCAATTTCCTTAGCTCCCTAATGCTTAACAATTTTGAGCTATATACAAGATTGGATAAAAAAAAACCAAACACAAAATTCTCTTCATTCTTTTGGTCCAAGCACTTAAAAAAATTGTTATCACCAGGTCATCAGAAGCCTTATACCAGCACAAAAGTTGTGTATACACATATTGGCAAATGAAACAGTACCTGCCCATTTCAGGCGTTTCATGCAACAGTTGTACAATGCAGTTCAAATGTTTGTATTTGTTTTTCTGAAGTTTTTGGATGATATTGTCAAGACTTATGCCCTGTTAGAAACAAACAACTATTTTGATACACAATTGCATAAATCATACACTCAAATATCATAATGTTCATATCAGTCCATAATTTCATTGATTTCTAAAAGTCTGTGTCCTGTTATCAATATTATAAATAGAAGTAACATTGTCCATTTTTTTCGTGTGGTTTTTATCTCTTTTTTTCCTTGACAAAATTATCAAATTAACAAGTGTAAAGATACATCAAGTGACATCCTATATTTCATCAGTTCTCATATTGCTCTTCATTTTGCAACTCGCACTGCTCCTGACTTTGCTCCTGATTTTCACTCGCCCACAGTGTTAGGTTATCTCTAAGCAGTTGCAGGATGAGCTTGCTGTCCTTGTACGTATTGGACTGCTCATCGTCTCCCATGTCTTGGATGCCTTTTTCAAAAGCATCTTTCGCCAATTGTTGTGCCATTGGTGGTTCACCTCTAATTTCATAGTGAAATACTGAGAAGTTCAACGCCAATCCAAGCCTGATTGGATGTGTGGCCTTGAGTTCAGAAGTTGCTGTTTCCCATGCTTTTTTATAAGCCTCCTCTGACTTATCTGACAGTTCTTTACGGGTTTCTGCACTAGCCACTTCAACTTTGTAGCGAAAGTAGTCTCCCTTCATTTTCAGGTAGAAGACCCTGGATTCAGCACCTCCCGCGTGAGCGTTCTTAATGAGATAATTATCTAACAATTCTATTACCTCATCACAGATTTCATTTAGTTCTTGTTCCACTTCCTTCGCGTATGCCCGACAGATTTCAATTTTTTTCGAGATTGTCAGTTCGTCTGAACTCGCGTTCTGTTCATGATCGAGTTTACTTAGCAGTGTTTCTAACCATGACACCAAGACCCTCCAGGAAGTTCGAAGTGCCCCTACCTTGTTCTTGCACGCAACCGACAACTGATTTCTTTCGTCATCAAGTAAAATACTTGTAGACGTCCCGTTCGCCTTGGCTGCTCTATATTCCTCGGAACTGTCGGGGAAATCCAGAGGCAACATCGTGACAAGAGTTTTCGTGAACTGAGCCATATCATTGTATCGTTCTACTTGTTCCGCCAATTTCGCCATGTAAGTTAAACGGTGTCGTTCGTCAGCCATTGTTTCTTTGTAGTTGGTCTCAACAGCGTGTCAAATTATGTATTATTTGTGTTCTTGCTCACCAACAGAGACCTTTTATGATAGATTTGTAATCGTAAGCTGAACTCACCGTGTTTCCAAAATGGCCGCCGCCTGAACAAGATCCTGGTAAGCGTGCGTTTACGGAATCTACACAATTACACACGCACTCCCTGATTATGAATAACAATCCGAGTCGCTCAAGAAGATATAGCTCGTTTCCGAAAAGTTTCAAAGTTCGGTATATAACTTCTTGCCGTATCCGATGCTGGAAGGAGAAGAGATCTGTATAAATGTTGAGACGTGACTCACCATGTAATTCAACAGGGCGGGGCTTAGTTGCTGTTATACAAGTACTGTCGGAAAGGATTTTGCCGCCTTAGTCGCGGACTCACTCAGCCATATCGCTGTGTGCACACATACACACACTCAGCGGCAAGCTAGCTCAGTAGCGACTGGTAGCTATGTATGTTATATATTGCGCAATAGATTGAAATATTTACGATATTTCTATTCACATCCCCACGCTTAGTAAGGTATTTTACTGCATATTTTGCTGACGTAAAATGCATAACATTAAAATGATGTGTGTTTTTTTTATAGGGAAAATTACTCCGCTTAAAATGCCGTTTATTTAAAGACTATTTGCATCATATTTCGAGTTGAAAGTGGTATGTAATATCGGGTAATATTTCAATTTTGATAGTGTAAACATGCGTTTCGTTTTAAAGATATTCTGAAAGTTAATGGAAATAATTAACATATGTTCGATTTTAAAATTGTTCACGTTGCTAAGCTCTAAGATCGGTTATGTACTTCCAGGGGAAATTGTTGTCCAAACATCTGCTGTAATCTTATATAGATACTTAACTGGTACTTTTTATCGAAAATGCTGTAAATTTCTAAAATAAAGTGTATATTTTTGTAGCAAATTAAAAGAACTTTGTTAAAAGCCTGATATCGGTACAATATTTTAAAACAATGGATATGTAAATAGAGGGCGGGTTTCCCTTCAAAGTGATCCGTGCCTGGTTTTGTCCTTCTACGACTCGTCAGTGAGTAGACGATAAAGCAAAAGTTTAAATAAAAAGAAAATGACATTTTTTATGGGGAGGTGCACTAGCCCCATAATTCAAGAGATTTCATAATTTCCATCAATCGAGATTAATATGGTATAAACACAGATGTAGTGTGTATCCAAATCCTTGACACAACTTATCTGAATTTTGAAGTTCAGGACAAACTTTCGCAAGTTACCAAGTCAAATAATAAATTCAAGGACTGCTGTATAGATTTTTATGATGATATTGGAATTTTGCAAGAAAAAAATGTATCCACAATATTTTTTTTTTCGGTGTATGTGAACGACTCTGAGACATTTTTTCACAGAATATAGAAATCAATATGACGATGAGGAGATAAGTCTTTCGCTTACGTTACACGCAGATAAGTTTGCAATTCTCGGAGAGATTTGAAGAATTACCAAAATTATGAGACAATCTTGCTAGCTTTGCTGAGAAATGCCAATTAACGGTCAATATGGACTCAAAATTCGAGTGTTTTGAAACGACGGAAAAATCGAAATGATTAAGTGTGATTTATCATACTAAATTAATGACCGGTGTTAAAATCCAACGTGGCCGCCATTTTGAATTTCTTCTCTAGTTTCAGTGGTGCAATTGCGCTGAAATTTGTTAAGAAAGCCGATCGGCGAAGTTTTGTTATTTTTCAGCCTCTTCCAAACTTCGACATGGCAACCAAGATGGCAATTTTGTAACATGATTGTGCAATCACGCCTTTTCTGAATAACACCTGACCAGTTTTAAACTTCTGTAAGGGTTCCATCTCTGGATTTCAGCTAAAAATTGCCTGAAAAGATTTAGACCAGCTGTTGAGTAGGTCTGAAATCCAACCATAATGGACATCAGGTGCGCCATGTTGAATTTTTTTTAACTTCCTATCATGTTTCACTGGTGGTACCGAGTTGAAAATTGGTTAAGAAAGAAGGAAAAGGAATGGTGTTGTTACTTTTCGTCTCTACCACACTAAGTAATATACAGCGGCCATTTTGTAGTATGATTACACAATCATGGTTTTCCTGCATAACAATCACCAGTGGGATTCAGTCTGACCTGAAATGTTTTTGAGTTGACTTCAGTGTTGTCCACGAGTTGGTCCACAGTCCAACATGGCCGCTGTGGCTTAAAGAAGACATTTTGAACTTCTTTTCCAGTTAATCTGGTGCCACTAAGCAAGCTGCAATTAAGTGAAAATGTTGAGAATCTGAAATGAAGAAAAATGTTGTTACCTTTACTGCTTATATTCAAAATAGTTTGTATCATTTGATAATTGTGTCCACTTCCACTAATGTAAGTTATGTCTTTGACAGGTGTTTGAATATATAAACTAAATACATATATGCGATACTCGGAATTACTGAAAAGGTCATCTATGCATAAACTAATACAATCACATGGAGTTATGTCAACTTGGTGCATTTGTCTCTGAATCTAATAAGTTAAATATTGGATCGGGACGAATGTTAATTTGAAACTTGAGTGTTCTGTTCAGGCGAATTTCGAAATAAAATCACAAGTTAGAGAGAATTCCAGCGTAAAAACGAGGGGAAATTAGAGTTTGAAAAAAAAAGATAAATAAATGAAGTAGCGGATTGTGTTCTGGATGTGTAGACTCTGTGTACGCGGTGACTGTTTCTGTTTTCTAGCCTAAATCTAGGTTAAATCCAGGTAGTTACATGTAAACGGAGCCTGCGCAATGAATACGACAAGCGTAAAATGGCAACAGGGGACCAAACTAACCATACGTAGGAAAGTGGATTAGTGTCTGTATGAGGAAAACAAACAATGTTCCTATATACATATAGATTTGATCATGATAAGAATAAGACTCAAAAATCTTCGTCAATTTACATCTCTTGAAACTAAATCGATTTCCACCCGTATCTATCTTCTTTAATATTTGCGAATCCATGGTATGGGGGACATCATTGCTTGGAAGTCCGTGTAGCTGACGTTTACCACTAAAATCATTATAAATGGAACACCTCCTTCCTTATAGATTTACGGCATGTTTGCAAATTAAAATATACGTTTAGACAGAAGGAAGGTAACTATCAAGTAAGGAGGAAATCACCAACGGGAAACTCTAATTACTCGATTATGGTGCGCATATCCAAAACACAGCATAAAGCAGAAGACGCTTGTAACCGTACTTCCGGAACACCTGGATATTTTATTTGTTGTACCTTTTCACGAGTTTCAGTAAAAATCTTCCTTTTGTTAATACCTTTCCCTCATTTAGTGGAATTTGTGGTTGAATAAGATTTTGTTTCCATGTCGGTAATTATCCGTTGTTTTGAGGGTGAGCTGGCCCTGTTAATTTTGTGCTCGATTTAAAGTGAACGAAGACGGACACGAACTGCATTAAAGACAAGGGTCCACAGAGGACAGAGTTATGTCCCTTCATTCATGTAGTCTTTTGAATATCCTTACAATCCAATTGTTAACGAGAAAATCCATACTTCTCACATTTAATTCTCTATTTGATTTAGTTCAGCCTTATTCTGTGTTATCTAATATTGTTTATAGGGTTAAGTTAAGACCATTTACATGTATTTACATAGTGGGTGAGCTTGGTTGGGTTTTAAAATCCTTCTGAATAAAATAATAGATATTTTAATAACAGAAACACTCTTCAGAAAGTAGTGATGATAAATGACCCATTTTTTTTTTATGAAATGCGTAGTGTATTTCAGAATACTACACAAGGGACTTAATTAAGGAGAACGTCTCGTCTTCTACCTATTTTCTTTTCAACAGTTGAAGTATCAGTATTCTCTCACACAACGAAATGTCTCCTGAAAAACAAATATTCACGTCGTTAAAAAATCCGAGAAATAGAGACATTTTAGACTGTTTTCGTCAGTAAGCACTTTGGTTTTTCTGTACACGACTATATTGATCAGTTCAACTGTTAAAAACGAAATCACTAGACTATTTCCCTGAGTCAGCAAACCGTTTTTAAACCCCATATTCTCTCTAAGCTGCCGGCGTATCCGACGGTGACCTTTAACGTTGTCCTTCATTGACTGATGTCGAGAACGACTTCAGGAAAGAGGTATTTGGTCGATGAGTAGCTAGTGAGCCGAATATTGAAATATATATATATTCATGTATTAAGGGCACATACAAATCCAAGCGAGGCCAGTCGTGCCTCATCATAGAGAAAAAAAATAAAGACTGCAGCACTTTCATTTCCGCTGTCAAAGCATGAAAAGGAATTGTCAGTTGCTGGAAAGAATAAGTTAGTAAAACTGTATCCATGTATTTCAGTGTGATAACACTATAAAGCGTTGTCAAATCATCGATGAACGTTAGAGTTTCGTAACGAGACCTGGACTGTTAGCCTTGTTAACCATTTTAGAAACTGGGATTATCTACCTGTCTTGAATCTTAACCAACACATAAGTTTAGAAGTAAACGTATTTTAAAACTTTATTGATCTTACTTTTCTGTATCATGTATGACAATACCGGTATTTCTACTTTTTCGTCACAAATGAAGTTGGCTTGGAACGGTGGAGTTGACCAGCCACATTCAACCCTCTCCAGCGATATTTTGTTACACGTGTCCCTCCCTAGTAGCTATGTCAGAAACATGCATGCCTCCCTTGCTCTGCCATAGATGCACTACTTACATGTAATGTCCCCGCCGCTGTCATTCCTGACATACATGTGTCGCTGTAGTGTTGCCATGAACGTACACGTGTCCCTCCCTACTAGCTCTGTCAGAAACTTGCATGTGTCCCTTGCTCTGTCATAGATGTACTACTTGCATGTAATGTCCCCGCCGCTGTGACGTATATGTGTCCCTGTAGTGTTGTCAAGGACGTACATGTGTCCCTGTGGTGTTGTTAGGGACGTACATGTGTCCCTGTAGTGTTGTCAGGGACGTACATGTGCCCCTGTAGTGTTGTTAGGGACGTACATGAGTCCCTGTAGTGTTGTCAGGGACGTACACGTGTCCCTGTAGTGTTGTCAGGGACGTACATGCGTCCCTGTAGTGTTGTCAGGAACATGCTTTCTCAGAATCCTGACTGTGCCATGTGTCGCTATAGCTTGGCCAGGGATATCCATGTGTCGGCACCTACGTGGGGACGTGTATGTCCCTAAAAGCGTTGTCAGAAACATGCATACATGTTTCCCTAGCAGCTTTGTCTAAGGCGTGCATTTCCCTTGCTCTGTCTTGGACGCGATTATGTCCCATGTTCTGTTGGGGACCTATATGTGTCCCTAGCCCTGCCATAGCTCTGT